TAAGCTTTCGTGGACTACAGCCCCCTTCTTCGGATGCATATGTGGGCTGTAGTCCACGAAAGCTTATGCTCTAATAAATTTGTTAGTCTCTAAGGTGCCAAGTACTCCTGTTCTTCTTTTTGCGGATACAGACTAACACGGCTGCTACTCTGAAAATCCCATTAGGCATCTATCTGAATATTTAGACACCGTTTAAATACCTTTAAAAATCTAGTCCACAATGCCTAGAAGTCCCAACAGAGTTTAAAGCCCCATTGTGCTAGGCTATGCAAATAGTTGTATTGAATTCATTGAAACTACATACAATAAATAACAATACATGTGAATAAAAGCTCGCAAACCTTGGCCCACTCTAGCGGTAAATTGGAATGGTGAATTAGCAAGCGATGAATTTGCTTCTTTTTTACAAGTAAAGTCACTTCATATCAAGGCATAATCTCCTGCAGATTTAATGTGAAACTGTTCCACTAGCTGACTGAAGGGTTAAGTGATTCAAACATCCTCCTTCTAATACAATGCTTTGCTCAATGTTGAATGTGGGACACCTGCATTCTCCCCACTTGTGCTAGTTGACTTTCCAGGGCACACCACAGTCTATTCGTGCAGTCATCACTATCATCTTCAATGAACTAACTTAGTCCTATTGCTCCTAAGATGCCTTTTCATCTGTGCAAAGGTTTTTAGAATGCGATGGGTGAAAACAGGACAACACTCCTGCAAAGCATGAAAGAAAAGACAAATTTGCAAGCAGTTTTGCAACATTATGTGTAATCACCCTCCTTTGCATGCAAGAAGGTGTTAGGCAGTAGCAAATCTGCCAGAAGGTTGCTTTGCTGGAATGGAAATCTTATTTGTGGAAAGCTTAGAACTACGTAAGAATGCTAATAAATGCTGCAACAAGCCAGCAGCTTCTCAAATGGTTGTGCAGAGATAATCCAGTTACCACTGTCGGATGCACGTACTGTTTTGAAACTGTAGTACACTGGGTTCCATCACTAGCAACACGAGGATTGATTGATCTCTATCAATCAGCCTTTGACAACACTGGGTTCTGAAACCTACTGAGCAGGAATTGCTGTTCCTCTGTTAGCCTAGAATTGCTGGCTCTCCAAGTGTTCCATCATAATACAGATTTCAGAACTGGAGAGTCACTGTGCAGCATGAGAGCTGAAAGGCCTAAATTGTCTTCAAGGATTAGATGGACTAACAAAGATATATGTAATTAGTCGCTTACATCTGAATAAACTGCACAGGCAAATTGTTTAATGTGCCATTCCAGGAATTACAAATCCAGGGTGTGCCACGCCTTTCAATATTAGTGGTGTGGCATGAGGCCACCACTGTGCCCTCTGGATCAGTTTAAAAAAAGTATCAGAGTCTGGCTTGAGCAGGCAACAACAAAGAGAATCACAATGACAAGAAACTATGTCTTAGAGCTGCATAAAGTAGTATTTTGCCACTATGTGCCATGACTTGTCTTTGTCACCAGTGAAGATAGAATAATAGGCATGCGGGTCTGAAAGGCCCTCGAGAGGTCATCTAGGCCAGCCCCCTACGCTGAGGCAGGACCAAGTAAACCTAGACCATGACAGGTGTTTGTCCAATCTGGTCTTCAAAAGATGTAAGAAAATCCCTGTGAAGGGGGAATAAAATGTTGTCAATTGGAGGTGAACCTTGACTCTTCCTGGGCCAGATACTCAGCTAGTGTTACATTGGTGTTGCTTAGGGTTACCATACGTCCTCTTTTTCCCGGACATGTCCGGCTTTTCGGCACTCAAACCCCCGTCCGGGGGGAATTGCCAAAAAGCCAAACTTGTCCGGGAAAATGGCGGCTCTGCTCCTCCCCTGACTCTTCGGCTCCGTTTAAGAGCCGAGC